AACAGTAGTACTAGAAGGAAAGCTTTTACGAGTAGACTTAGCTTCTACACAACTAGTACACAAAAGTTTGGAGGACTTTTCAATCATCTTATTATTACCAAAAAGACCAAGTTTGACCATCGAAACAAGCCGACTCAAATGGGGATGGCCAATACGAGAATGCCAAAGGTGTAAGTTTTCATCCTCTAGACTCGAGAAAACCGAACATGAAAAAACAGAACGCAAAGGTGAGATCGACGACGACGAACCGACTGATGATTGATCCGAGAGCTCCTCCAAATGAAACACACGACCATGTCTACTCCCGCGCCCGACCTGCCTCCCCGTCTTCTCCTCCTGTACAACACAGCCAGAAGGAGCAAACACAACCCGATAACCCTGTTCAGTAAGCTGACCCACCGATACAAGATTTGGAAATAGTTTAGGGACAAAGAGAGTATTTGAGAGAGTGAGCGAGGACTGCACTACATTCCCCATACCCTTAACCCCCAAGCTTTCTCCATTAGCAACCTGCAAAGACATATCTTTAACCGGCACAACATCGCGTACAGCACAGGGATCGCTAGTCATGTGGTTAAAGCAAGCGGAGTCAAGCAACCATGGTTTAAGTATACCTGAGGTCTGGAGTGAAGCAAAGGCGGAGCTCAAGGCTGTAGGGAGTAGGGGTGTACATGGGTCGGGTGGTCCAGGTTTAGCCATTTTAATCACCCGACTCATGCACTACGGTTTGGGAAATATTAAACCCAAACCCACCCAAAAAAATTAAAACCCTACGGTTTGTTTCTAATTGGGTTGGGTCGAGTTGGCGATATTTTTAAGTAAAAACCCAACCCAATACAAAATACGTAATTATTCTACACCATAAAAATATTTTATAACTAATTAAAATTTCAAACGAATAAACCGAGGTGAAAGGTATCAAAGTTCACAAATGTTGTTTAAATTTTATTAAAATGTGATTTACGTCAACATATATATAGTTTTTTTCCACGACATTTGTTGAAATAGGATAAAAATGTTATAAACGAACGCATCCATAATATATAATTCTATTAAAATCGTACACAAGAAAAATGATTACGTGAATCATAGCTATATTAATTCTATGTCTAAACTTTAACCCGAAAAATGCATTAGATTAGTGAGACCATGAGAGAAAAATATGGCAAAATATCTTAATTTTCTAATAAGTATGCTTATATACGACATAAATATTTTTTGGATTCGAACTCATATCAATAGTTGGAACACGGGTTGGGTTGGGTTCTACGGGTTGTGTAATCCAAAATCCAAACCCAACCCAAAAGAGGCGGGTTGTAGAAAAGAAAACCCTAACCCAACCCAAAACCTTAGTTTTAACGATAAATACGGGTGGGTTGGGTCGGGTTGGACGGGTGGGTCGGTTTGCGGGTGTGTTTGTTCACCCCTAGTAGGGAGAGAACGTTGAAGGGCCGCATGAACCAGGCTTTCAACTGCCTCCGAAGTGAGCGCGGAAGAGCCAGCCGATGAGGATGGCGGTTGAGCAGCAAAAACGGGATTGGAGGAAGGCCCAGCTGTCGCCGAGTGAGCGCTGGCAATACACACACATATTGCGTTGCCGGCAGTGCTTCTGCGGGTGACCCTTAGTGTGACAATGGTGACATTCTAATTCCGACACAGGCACCCGTTGCTGGAATTGAGGTCGTCCCACATCGAAGGCAGAATCCGTAGAGCCGGCGGAAGAGGAAGACCCGGCCGACACAGCAAACACCGCCTCACTATCTCCTGGACGCATATTCAACTTCGACTGGGTGCGAAGGCGCGCTTCCTCCCGTAGCAGCTTGCCAAGAACCCCATCCATTGTGATCGTGTCTTGGTTAAGGAGGGTGGAACGTACAGATTCATACTCTGGACGCAAACGCATCAAAAACTGGAGAAGGCACTGCTGCCGTCTCTCGTCCATAAACTCAGCAGAAGCCTCCTTCGAGCGAAGCGCGGCTGTTAGCAAATCTTGCTCAGTCCACAGCTCTTGTGCTTCATTAAAGAATGTCAAAATATCCCGATCGCCCTGCTCGAGGCGATCCAAAGCCGTCTGAACCTCAAATTGACGGGCCGGATTACACGAGGAGTACGTAGTCTCAAGATGCTTCAACCCAATTAGAAACAAACCGTATGGTTTTAATTTTTTTGGGTGGGTTTGGGTTTAATATTTCCCAAACCGTAGTGCATGAGTCGGGTGATTAAAATGGCTAAACCTGGACCACCCGACCCAACTTCAGAGATGGGCAGTCCAACACGATATGGCCCGGCTTTTTGCAATACACACACATATTGCGTTGCCGGCAGTGCTTCTGCAGGTGACCCTTAGTGTGACAATGGTGACATTCTAATTCCGACACAGGCACCCGTTGCTGGAATTGAGGTCGTCCCACATCGAAGGCAGAATCCGTAGAGCCGGCGGAAGAGGAAGACCCGGCCGACACAGCAAACACCGCCTCACTATCTCCTGGACGCATATTCAACTTCGACTGGGTGCGAAGGCGCGCTTCCTCCTGTAGCAGCTTGCCAAGAACCCCATTCATTGTGATCGTGTCTTGGTTAAGGAGGGTGGAACGTACAGATTCATACTCTGGACGCAAACGCATCAAAAACTGGAGAAGGCGCTGCTGCCGTCTCTCGTCCATAAACTCAGCAGAAGCCTCCTTCGAGCGAAGCGCGGCTGTTAGCAAATCTTGCTCAGTCCACAGCTCTTGTGCTTCATTAAAGAATGTCAAAATATCCCGATCGCCCTGCTCGAGGCGATCCAAAGCCGTCTGAACCTCAAATTGACGGGCCGGATTACACGAGGAGTACGTAGTCTCAAGATGCTTCCACATGGAGCGAGCATCTTTCAGCAGCCGAAGCCCAAGAATAATGGTCGGATCCACCGACCCCAATATCAACGCACGAACACGAGCATCACTTTGGGACCACTTAGCGATGTCGTCAGTCGGGGACGTCTCAGCTGGCTTCGGCAAGGATCCATCAATCAAACCAAGGAGGCCTCTTCCCTCCACAAATACCCGAAACTGGAACTCCCACACGGCATAGTTCTTGGAGTTCAAACGAATACCGAGACGATCAGAATCGCCGGACGAAAGCTCTGATACCATGTTAACAAATCGAGCTTAAACAAATGAACGAATCACACACACGATGTACGTGGTATCCCCGAGATTCGGGACTAGTCCACGGGAGAGATGACCTCTCCGAGCTTGTATCTTATTCTCACAAGATTCGATGATCGGCAGCAGTACATAAGGGCAAATATATATACCCTCCCAACCCTAACTCCATGCACCCTAACCCTACATGCACGTCCAACCAAAGTCCAGCCAAAAAACCCAAGTACAAAATAGAGTCCGAACTAAACATATGTACAAACATGGGCCGAGACCCAAATCCAGAGATGCTAACCCGCTAACACACAAACCGCCTGGAACGATCTAGGCTTAAACAATTATAGATACTAAAATATAATTTGTCAATGATCCATAAATCCAACAATCTAATTGAATTTGGATCATATGAATTGTATTAGTTGAATATTTTTAATTGATCGATAAATTAGATTGAGAATTACAACATCTAGTACTACATAGGAAAATGATGCAACGACGTGGAAGAATCCTAGTCGTGAAGTGGTGCGGTTTTGGGGGAGAGCTTTGTTGTGGTTGGTCGAACGCAAAGTCACGTGTATGCATTGTTGTACACTAGACCAGATAAAAAGAAATAAGAGGGGAAAAGTATGGGCCTGAAAAGGCCCACAGAGTATCTGACAAAAGTATAATTTTAACTGGTTCATCTCGCCGTGATATTTGATATGATATGCCACCAACGGGGAAATGGAAGTTAACTGCCTTCTCTCTCTCTCTCTCGTCAATTCTACTCTTCTTCTTATCACTCTATCCATTCATTCATTCAACGAATTAAACAGAAACAAAAAGAAAAGGCTTATATGATTTACTAATCCACGAGGCAGATAAGAATCTCAACTCCTTACCCTTTTATGCAAAAGAAGGAAGATTACATTAGGTAGATAAGCTTAATGATCATCTATTTCACAATTTGGATATTTCATCTATAAAGATTGACCACAATGGAGTCAATTTAGAACAAAATGATTCTGTTTTTTTTAAGGGTGATATAGATTTTTTCAAATTATTTAGAGAATTTGAACCTAGAACCGTCAGACTCCAATTTCTAGACTAGTTGTATTACCACTAGGCCAAAACCGTGTTCGTTGGAACAAAATGATTCTTAGCATATGTTTAGATGAAACTCTCTTATGACTTTGTTGTAGACTTGTCCAAGTCCACGATTTGGAACACGAGGTTCCTAGAGAGAGGAAAAAATAAATATGGAAAAAGTAATTTTGAAGTGAAGCATTTAAAATAAGTAGATAAAATGTGTGTCATCTTGTTTGAAATAATGTTCATAATATTCAATCTCATCAAAGTATTGCTAAATCATTCACTTGTTTTAGCTACTCATCCTATCGGTGTGGGAGCATCAACTTCATTTTTGTGGGCTTTGGAAGAGTGAGAGAAATTGTTGCAATTTTATGAAAAGAGTCTCGTGAACTATGTTGCGTACTAGATTCTATCACTTCTTGATCGCCGAGCAGCACACTAGAAAAAAAAAATTCAAACACGTTAATAAAAACGAAAAAAAACTACTCATTCAAACTATCCATCTTAGTTAAGAAAAAGGTCACCCACATGTGTCTAGTGCAAACTCCATATTGTTAACTATGAAGCAAGCAACTTTGTTAGCAAGTTAACAATTGGGCCACTCTTGGTTAGTTGTAGTTCTACTCCTATCCATGAGTAAACATCAAACTATGAAACTATTTAAAGACAAAAACAGAACATCAAAAGTTCTTCATTCCACAAACTCCTATTTTTGTGAATTCGTCATCATCATCGAAATCTATTATCAACAAAATTTACATCAAATTATCCGTGGCTCCTAAATCTCAACGACAATCCATCGAATTCAAATCCACAAACCAAACTACCCTTATTTTGTTCTCTCCTCCACTAATTTTCACACAAGAAGACCATGAAACCCCACATTCCCATCAAAACAAAACACAACCTCCTTTCTCTTTCTGGCTCTGTCTCTTCATGCCCTCCCATTTTGCAAGCTGTAAAAAAGAGGTAATGACTTAGTTAGCCTTTACCCCACCACACCTTATTATTCCTTCTCCCACAGACAAAATGGTTTCAGCTTAGCTGCAAACAAAAGAAACTTCCTTCTTCCCCACCTTCACAAAGCTCCATCCTCTCAACATTGGCCTGGTATTGAAGTCTTCCTTAAAGCTCCAAACTTTCATCGAGCCCTTCTCATAACATGGTCCCCCTTCCAAAATTTCTAGCAATGTCACAGTTTGCTCTTCTGGGTTTTGTGTTTTGCAGGCATGGCAGGAAGACTATCATAACTGCTGCTGCTATGGATTTTGGTGTTGAGACTTTGAGCTTGTGAAAAGGGGGAAAGGGAAGAACTTTGTTTTTGTTTAAGGGTTTTAAATCACTAATTAGATAACAATTATAGTAATATATTAGTACAAAGAATGCCAGTTCCTCTTGCACCTTATCCAACTCCACCAGTTGCTCCATATAATCCTCCTCCTCCACCTCCTCCAGCTGCTGCTGCCAATGGTAAGTAATACTAATCTTCCATTTTCATCCAACCAAAAGCTTGCATTCATATTATTCTTCTTATCCCTTTTGGGAATGTTGGGTTTTTTGTTTGTACTTTTAAGGTGGACAAAGCCAGCTAGTGTGTTCTGGATGTAGAAATCTGTTGCTTTTCCCAGTTGGGGCAACCTCAGTTTGCTGTGCTGTCTGCAATGCAGTCACTGGAGTTCCTCCTCCTGGTATGAAAACAGAAAAGAAGACTTCAGCTTTTTTACCATATTTGATCACTCAAAGCTTTAAAGGTCACTCGTTTTCACCTTTTTTGAGTGATTGATACAGGCACAGAGATGGCTCAGCTGGTATGTGGAGGCTGCCACACTTTGCTCATGTACATTCGTGGCGCGACAAGTGTCCAATGCTCATGCTGCCACACTGTCAATTTAGCCCTGGAAGGTAAGGGAAAAAGTTTGAATCACTAAAATTCCAAAACTTTGGCCAAATGGGGATCTCAGGAATGCTGAAATGTGGGGTTTGTTGTTATAAAGTTTCAGCCTTAACCCTATTTGAGGCATACAATTTTTTGAGAATTAGAGTGATGTTCATCCTCGCTATCCAAATTGTGAAGGGTATTATGTTTATGCATGAAAAGGTGATGGATGGTCAAGCCTAAAGAAACCCCCTAACTGAATGACCATGATCTCCCAAAATTTGGCCTAAAGTGGGTTTTTTTTTAAACTTAATTCATAAAGTTTTACCCTTTATGAGGATGAAATACAATTTTTGAGGAAAACATTTGAGTGATGGTTTGGTTCTTTTCTTGGCAATTTGGTGTTTGGAACAGCAAACCAAGTGGCACATGTGAATTGTGGGAACTGCAGGATGCTGCTGATGTACCAGTATGGAGCTCGATCTGTCAAATGCGCAGTCTGCAATTTCGTTACATCAGTTGGGGTAAGTGTCTCCAAATCCATTCATGGTCCTCCTAACGTGGTTCCAAAGCTACTAGCCAAATGTGTCTGATGTTCAATCCTAGAGAAAGAAACCTCTCAACTGTGCGATTTGGCTTCTTTCTGTACCAAGTCCATCTTGCCCTCATAGCACAAAACGTAATGACCATCTTACCAAATGGTTGCAGGCCTCTGCAAGCACTCCAGAGCAGAAATTCAGCACTGCTTGATCTTGTGGTTTCACTTGCGATCTTTTACTAAGTACTCGTCGACAACAATTGAATCAAAACGCCAGTGGCGTGGAGCAATGAAAACTTCAACTCCAAGTCACAATGTATAGAGTTGATCTTCCCCCTTTGTAACTTCCCTTTGAATAAACCAGTTTTGGAGAAGTTTGTGGTTATTTGCACTATATAACTACTATAAAAAAGTTTATAATGTTGAGATAAGGAGTAGATTTCTGTTTTGGAAATGGAAAGACTGGACAATCTCAATGGCTTGGAAGTCACATAGACACATAATGGTGGTGGCCCAAAAGAGATATTTAGGAACAGAAAGACAAGGTTCTGGGAAAAAAGGGTATTTGTGGTTGAAAGCAAAAGAAGAGAGCTTTCATGGTGAAAACCATAGCCCATAGGAATTCCTTTGGGGGCCGGAAGATCACTTTCAAAATCCTGAAAGAATCTTAATCCATGTCATTTTCACAGTTTTCCTCTTTCAAGTTTTGGGTTAAGGTGGTTTTATAGTCTTGTATGTCAATTTAACAAGCAAGTCTCCATACTAAGGTTCTAATTGTGGTTTATTCACCTTTGAAGTTTGAACCCCTTGGTTTTTAAAGATTCTCTAAAATTGGTTAGTGATTACCATTAGTCAATACTGCCCTATGAATCTGACATCTCCTTACGCTTTTATACGTCGCAACTGACATTTAGCACTTAAAACGAACGAGATTAATTGATACGGTCCAATAAAACGGTGAAAGATGGATCAGTAACACTGAGATGTGTGAAACCATCAAGAACATGCTTACTCAACATGGGTGGACCTCTAACAAGTTAACTGGAGCATTAATTGGAGATTGGGAAAGGGTATATTCTTCTTTCTGGTGCTCATCCAAAAGAGAAGCTGATTGATTCCCTTTGCCATCCCATTATTGCACTCCAAAGAAAGCAACTTTGTTTCGTGGTGGTCTCTTTCTCAGAACCAGGACTGAAAGTGAGAAAGGGTGTCTCTCTCACACTCTTCTGCCATGGTTCCTAGCTAGAAGGCTCTCTCTCACACACTTATCAGGCTCCAAATTGGGGCCATATGGATGGAGACCTTATAATTGTAATGTATCATTCAAGAGCAAGAAAGCTGAGTGAGTGAATGACTTGTTGCCTGCCAAAAGTCTGATGGAAATCCTCACTTTCTGCTAGTATTTGTTGTATGTATGTGTATTTCTTTGTCCATGTTTGCCGCATCCAAGGTGCCCTTCTCGATTGGCATTATGGCTCACTATGTCATCACTTGCTGGCTCAATGTTTCAAACGGGAGCCTGCCCACTTGAAAGTTCACTGAGAGGTCATCCTCATTCAAATTGGAAGGCTCTATCATACAAATGTTGCGAATTCATCGTCGAAATAGCAGAATATATCTTCGGTGTTGATTCATCTCTGTTGGGTATGAAGAATACTACGTGTCTCGAGAAAATGGTGGTACGAAACCGCACAAGATGCCTTGGCATCCCATAGATAGAGCAATCGAGAGATGTTCGCATCTTTGATGCACCGTGATCTTCTCTTCGGGTTTAATACTAGCTGATGTTCGTATTTAATGTGTTCTATAGAATAGGGGGGCTTATGTGACAGTTATTCGTCATCGAGAAGAAAACGATATCTTATCTTCGAATCAATTGGAAGTCTAATAAGAGATATTTACATAACCAAATAAGATTGGGAGTTATCTATCTTGCATACACCAAGTTCAAAGCCAGGCGCATGAAAACAAATAAGTTCCATTGGAAGGAGCAAATTCTGCGAGTGGCCCATTGGAAGGAAAGGTAGAAAGCAGTAGCAAGCAGTCAAGAGTCGGGTAAGTAACCGCCGAAGAAACAGAAAATGAAAGGAAGAAAGAAAGAAAGAAAGATCCAAAATGTAAGATGTGCCTCTGCCTCTGCCCCCACAGAAATCTCAAATCTGCACTGGATAAGGATTTCTTGCTTGGCCATACTGATAGAATGATTGATTCTCAAGTTGTTGATAGATAGCCAGTAATTTTATTTTATTCTTGTCCAATTTTCATGGCAGGGAGGGAGGGATTTTGCAAAGCTTAGTTTAGTTAGCTAACCTTCATATGGTTTTTATAATGAGATGACTAGTTGCCAATGTCAGGGCAACGACAGAATGATGTGGGTGAGACGTACATACAGCATACTAAACGAAAACTTAAACCCCAGCAGCTCGAAATTCCAGTTAAACCGAAACGAACATACAACATACAAGTTCCAGTCTACAGCAAATGAGGATGTTGATTGATTTGGTCTTTGATCACTATCTGGAGAGGCATTTTGTCCGGTTAAAACCAAACCGAATGAATATCGGCAGGTGGAGGATCAACATTCTCAGTTTAACTTGAGATATACAATGCAGCCTGAACTCAAACAATCTCTCTTCTATTCATCAGCCATGGCCAGCTCCAAAGCGTAGTCGTCTCGCTCCTGTCAAATCGAATCGTATTATGATTTATCGATTATCCTCTCTCCTGTGATCTTACAAGGATGATATATTAAGAAACAAAAGACTTACAATTGGCCCTCGAGCAAAATACCTCCCGAACTGAAGCCAATATACCTGATGCATACAACAGAAGAGTGTGTTTGGCATTAACTTATGAGCACCGTAAGCCCAATGAGGGGGGAACCAGGCAGAATACGTGGAGCTTGAAAAGGTTTGCCAATGTACCTCATCTTCGTCTTGTGTTTCGACTTCAAGATCCGAAGACGGAAACCCCACACAAAGCAGTGCATATCCCTGCACGTCCAGACATCAGATGCATATCACACGTTACTTCTTATGCAAGAAATTAAATCTTTTGTGTCCCATCTCTTTGGTTTAACAAAAAAAGAGCTGCCATTGCCTTATCTTTGAGCTCTGCAGATATCCCTAGAGCTTCTGGCTGTCTGAGTTGTCCAGATTTCACACGTACTGCACAGCTAGTGCAACAACCTGCAGCCAGAGAGCCTGTTGATGAGCAACAACTTAGAACGATGGAGTGGAGCCTACTTGCAGGCACCGAATATACACAAGCACAGAAGACAACACACAATTATAAGTTAGCTTCTAATGAATCCACTTGATTGCCTTAAGTTGTTATCCACAACTCGATACATCACAAATATCGACTGGGGACCAACTTGAAAGGAGATGATGGAAACCAATAAGTTGATAAAAGAAAATGAATTTCCTAGAGCGAGTTGCATTTGCAGATGAAACACAATGTAAATGAAGGATTTCCTAGATAGAGAACAGCTAGAAGAGGTAGGTAAGGTTCAGTCCTCATTCCAACAGAATATCCATAGATATGGTTTTCTAAACACACACAAACTCCTTCAAACTGCCCTAATTCTGATGGTCCTATTGAGACATATCAGGTGACTCAACCATAATTATATTCAAAAATCCAACAAGGGTACCTAACCATCTTAGTTCTAAACAATGCAAATCCGATCATCGAAAGAACCAATCTACAGCACAAGCAGGAGAGCCCACATGAAAGAACTACAGCATACCCTGAAATTCATTTCTAAATTCCCATCTCCTCGGCCAGCAAATGGGTTTTGCTAAATCACTCTTCATAGCCAGAGGAAGAGAATTCAGAAGGTCACCTCTCAATGATCTAGAAGCGAGATTCTACCCCACATTTAATCGAAACTCATTGCTTTAACATCCCCTCTAAGATCAACTTGACAATGCATTCTCCGATGGGTTATAATTCAATAAGATATACAGACTAATACCATGCCTGCAAGCAAACGGAAGCGTAATGTCCTGCGCTTCCGCTGTGTGCAATATATACTGATCCTGCAAAAAAAAAAACATCCCAAGAGATCTCATGAACTGAAGGGTAACATAAAAAAAGGATTCCAAAAGCAAGAAGAAGCAAAATAACGCAGGCATACCTCTGGGACGACGAACTCGTGGACGACGCCGCGCTGCCGGTCATGAACAGTGACTTTGTGGGTGGGAACCGCAATCGGAGGTGCGGCGGCGGGTACACCGTTTACTCCGACCGCAGTCTGGAGCTCCGATTTTGTTCTGACGAGAGCCCATTTCGGCCGCCGGGAGCTGGTGGCGGAGGGATTGGAGCTAGAGGGGAAGAATGGAGATTGGAGAGGTGTGGATTTAGGCCAAAATGGGGAGGAGATAGTGGAGCTGCAACTGCAAGAGACGATAAGGTCCATCTTTTGGATGAAGGATTGAAGGGGAGCGATGGGATTTCTTTCCCTCCCTATTTGGGCCATCTCTTTGACGTTTCGAAAATATCAATATGGTCACTAAACTTGAATATATGTATCAAACGCATACCCACATTGTTAGAAATCATAAGTCGGATTGGTGGATACTGGATTGGATAGGTGAATTCATGGATCAAATGGATAATTGATCCATGGATCCAAACGACATTCAAGTCTTGGATCATTATGTAAATTTTGAAAAGTTTAGGTATTGAATGTCATAATGAAAATTTTTAGGTACCAAAATGTTTTTTTAACAAAATGATAACTTGTATTAAACAAGAAAAAAATATTTACATCATATCCACCTCCCTGGAGAGCCAAAACACAAAAATCAAACCCAGAACAACGACTGGAAAACAAAGAAAGGATCTTCTCAGCCACTAGATGGGCTTACCCTATTGCTGTCCCTCCTCACAAAACAAAACTGCAGATTGCAAAAAGACAACTGTCGGGACCGAATCTCCTCATAGATTGCTTCGCCACGAATATCGGCTACCAATCCCACATTAACCTTGTCAATCACCACCTTTGCATCACCTTCAATCGTGGTATCAAAAAATAATTTACCAATAATTATTTTCTTATTAAAAATAAATGTTATATACCAAAATGTAAAATATAAGAAGTATAGGTTAACATTCCATGACCCTCTGGTATTTTTGATTGTTAACATTCAATAAATATAAAAATTCTAAACCTATAATCCACAATACTAAAAGTAGGAAAAAAAATCCACTTATTTACAAATTGAGTGAGTGAATCAATCGGTGAAATCCTTTTCTCCAAACAAAGCCCTTTTGGAAACTTCTCAAGTCCAAAGCCCTTTTAGACATTTGGTAAATACCAGCCCATCAACTGGTGATGATTTTCGGCAGTCGAAAATAGTAACTGGAAAAGCAAACAAAGAAGCAGTCAGGCCCAATAACTAATGGCCCAACGGTCCGCCTTTCCTATATCTTCCTCTAAATTTACCCCAAAAAGCTTCTTTTGAGTCGCCGTCGGCCCAACCAAGAGCTGTAGTAATAAAATCTAAATCTTCATGCCCTGCATGGAAAACGTGCACAGGGAATCTAACAACAAGAATATATGATTTTTTTTTATTTATTAAATGTCCATTTAACTAATCAATAGAATACATGATATTTAAACGAAACGATAAGTTTTGAGCGGTCCTAACATCATTATCATGCTATACGTGTCAATACACATTATACAATACAATTATCATCCCGCAGTTAGTGTCAATACACATTATATAATTCGTGATGTAGTTATTATACTTGTATTGTTTAGAATGTATCGTTTTCTGACTTTTTTTTTTCATACACTATACATGGATTGTTTGGGTGATATGACATAAACTATCATCCAAAATGAGTGATTGTTACATCTCAGCTTTTTGCTGAGACGATGAGATCGTAGAGTTGAGATAGTTTTACCAAACTTTTCTCTGATCTGACATACACAATCGTATATATCAAAAGCTGGATCTTATAAAGCATCAAATTCGTCGACATATGTATAATAGTACACATATATTTACGATAATATATACCTCTATTTAACAATCCCAAACTTCCAAACGACTTATAAAAAAGATGAATTATTGTTTGACCTAATCCAGTTATTATTATTATTCGCAATGTCCACATTTGCGGACGAACTGGAGGACCCTGTTTGATTGTTTTTCTTTGTCAGTATACACGACCAAAATAATTAGTCTGATGCGACGCAAATTTGTGGTCTCATAAGTACTATTTCCACGGAACACTGATTTTGACTGCTATAATAATCACAAAAGAAAACAAAACCCCCCAAAACCTCTGGACCGTCCGATCCACATTTTTGACAATCGAGTGGCTGAGAATTGTCTTGGACACTTCAACGCCCTCAGGGTCCTCTCTAGGACCACGACCTTTTGGATTCTTTGTTTTTAGATAAATCAGCCTTAATCTATTCCCACTTGGCCAAAGAAATTAAGTTCATCCACAAAAGTAGGGTAGTTGATAAAATGGTCACATAGTTTTAGACCAGTAACGAAACGGTCACAAACGTTTAAAACGTAACAAAATGTCACATGAGTACTACAATATAACAAAATAGTGATTTTGTCTCGTTTTGGCCATATTTACATCCATAATTACCAAATACCTTGTTGACACATTGCAAACTTGATTAAAAAAAAATTATAAAACGCCTAACCAGCGCGTAAAACTACCTCTTTTCCAGAGCAATCTAAGATTGTCATTTTTGAATGGAAATATGAAGAAAATGACATGAAATAGTTGTTTTGTTATATTGTGTTATTTGTAATTTTGTATGATCTTTTTGTTACGTTTTAAACATTTGTGACCATTTTGTTATTAACTCAAACTCAAACCTATGATATCATTTTGATCAATTACCCTACAAAACTATATACTATATGCAATAGAAAAGGTCTAAACCCTAGAAAGGAATTGTTTTTTTATAGGTGTAAACCTAAGAGAATTGAACCCGTTCATACTACAACATCAAACCTCAAAACATAAGAGTACAGTAATTAAAGGTCTTTGTCTTCTAACTTCACGGAGAAATGTCGACTTTGGTCTTCATTTAGTACGTTTCATAAGAATATGCATACATGTACATTGAGTGATGTAGCTATATTTGACACTAATGTACATAGTGAGGACTTATTTTGTTGTGAAATATACTATCCCACAGTTGTGTCAATTTGTTTCGGATGGAAATTTTTCTGGTGTCGATTGATTGTGTTGAACTTTTGACTTATAGAAATCAAGACGATCGTTACGATTCACACATCTTCAAACAATTTAGTCCAAAATAATTTTAGACATAAACAGAACTATATACATCCGGTGTCATGCATATTAGATACAAACGCATGCATCTAGAGATAATCATGCATGTGCTTGCACATGAGCCTCGATAGTATTCGATTTATCGAATGCTTAAACTTGAAATCCTTAATTAATGTTCTACGAGTTTAGCAAGATCACTAAACTTGCATCCCAACACTTTAAACAAAGAAAACATCCTTGTTCCTTGCCTCCAACCCACAATTTTAGCATATAGAATCTAGCGATCTCCACCCAATTACCTGATGACTAAACACTATTCGTATTTGTCTCCTCTTTACTCATTTCAAGTTCAAAGTTGCTAACTTTTCAAACAAGATTGTCAAACCGGTTTAAGTTATTGAGCCCGTCAAGAAAGAGGTTTGAGGTTTAATGGTCTGATTGGGGTCCGGCCAGTTTGAGCCGTTTTAGACATTTTCTAAATATATATACAAATAAGATAGTAATTAAAGATTTAATGACCGAAATGAAATTTATCTTACATGTATCTATTAATAATTTATTTTTCACCAAATAAATCTGCCTATCGTCCATGATCCACCCACTATCTCCCTTTCGTTGTTCCTCTTCCTCTTTTTCCCCTCTTTTCTGCTCCCTCTTTAAGACTCAGAGACTGAGGGACTTTCTGAAGGCCGTTTTAAACCCGATTTAAATCAAATCGGGTCCAACCGAATGTTCGATAGAGATTTAACAACTTGCTTCCAACAAGCATAATTGAAGCCACTACTCACCCCAAGTTGGCTAATGCCATAAACCCAAACCTCCCTCTCTTTCCTCCAATCCAAAATACTACCCCCTTTTATGTATGTTGTTTTTGTTCTCTCTAGACCTGGTAATCGGGTCGGGTTGGGTAATTTCAGGTTGGGAATCTCGGGTTAGGGGTCTTCGTGGGTCGGGTCATGATGGGTTTGCTTATTTCGGGTCAAAAATTGACCCAACCCATTTTGTTTCGGGTCGAGTTTCAGGTCATTTCGGGTCATGAGCCTTCTAAGAAATAATATCAAACATGCTTCATAAATTTTTAAAGAACACAAATTTTTACATATGTGCGACAATAGTTTGTCTAGCACATGTCAATTAACAAATGCTCAACTCCTTCCATGCTAATGAAAAGAAATACAAATTGTCGAAAAACAATGGCGAAACTAATAGTACTACAATAAACAAATGATGTTTGATTATCTTAACACTCCAAACTTGTCTTTCAAATCCTAATAATTTTTTTTAAACATCTCACCAAAGTATGAGTGATTTTATCATTTCGAGAGTGACATATGCAATGAAATGGGTCTAGCGGGTCGACCAACAAACCAACCCGACCCAAAAAACTACGGGTTAATCGGGTTTGGGTCATTCGGATTTCGGGTTATAAAAACCTCAGCCCATTCTCTATTTTTCGGGCGGTTTCGGGTTGGGTCAACTGATCGGGTCCTCATTTGTCAGGTCTAATTCTCTCGGTCTCTCCCATCTCCTCTTTTCGCGAAACCCAATGCCCATAATGAATTGAAAGCGCCAAACTTGAAGGAAAGCGGGTGAGAGTAGACAATGAGGAAAACAATGAGAATTACAAAACCTCGCAAAGGTGGAAGAAGCAAGTAGGGTAGGGGCGGCGGCTCACCTACCCCAAAACCCTAATCTCTTTTCTTCGTTTCTGCCTTAGCCGGCCACCGCCCCTCCCATTTCACACGTGTCGAATACCCATGTCAACCAATTATTCCACCACCTGGCCCCCTTCAGGGGTTAACTTTCCCCCCTATGGAAAAGAAAAGATGCTTTGTATATAGTGACTTGTTAGTTTTTACAGTTGAGAAATCATTCTGTAGGCTAATATCAAGCCGAGTGTGATCATTCGTTTAGAGCTGATAAAATATGCAAATGATAAAATGGAGTGGGCTATCAGCCTTAGGCAGATACCATTAGATCGATCATCCTACACCACCTTTTTAAAAATAATAAAGTGAATCGAGTCATCGAGGTTAGGGGTGACTATTTGGTTTGGTTTTTTTGGTTTTACTCGAAACTGGATCGTATAATTCGAATAGTGACCGGACCGAGATCGGATAGCAAACAATCAAATCCCGTCTTCGGGCTTAGATTTGGAGATAGTAAAAAAAATTGTCCACAGGACCGGAAACCGGATAAAGACCGGATAAGAGAGTCAAACACCCACAACCTAACCAACTCCTCACCCTTTTAGGCCTCGGCACACTCAAACCCCCCCACAAGCTCAATCTAAAATCAAGATCGGATTGGGACCTGACCGGGTCAAAACCGGACTGTATCCAATCCAACCTTCGGTCCTCAAATTCTCGAAAAGAACGGACCGAGACCGGATCAATTCGGACCAATTTAACCGGACCTGACCGTATAGTCACCTCTAATCGAGGTTATATTTACACGTCGAGATTTGCAGGTCACATGATTCAACAATATCAGCCATCAACTAGCACGAAAACTTAACAAGTCACTTCAAGGTTTCCACAACTAACGAATAACATAGACTTAGGAGTCGTTTTCTCCATGGATTTAAAAATAAGGATTTTGTAATTTAAAAAAAGACAAGGATTTGTTTCTTGAGACATTATAGATTTGTAACAATTCTTTGTTTGTTGAGATATTTTATCATGGATTTATGGGTTTGGAATTTAAAACTTAAAATGTCCAAAATTACTTTACTATCTTTTTCTATTTGTTTGTCATGTGTATGATATGCACACTAAACAAATGTAGTACGTACTAATAAGCATAATGTTGCCACAAGCACAATGATAATAAACGGTAAATTTTCATTGAAATTTTAACAGAGCATATATAAGTTATCAATTCTTTGTCTCCTTTTCAAAAGTAGCATATAGCAACATATATTAGAACCGAGAGAACAAGGAATTCCACGTTTCATGAAAATGTCAAAGGAAACCAGAACACAAGAACGGGCATAGAAAATCAAAATCATGTCTGCACAGTAATTGAATATTTATATTATTTTTTGTTGTTAATTATTGATTAATTATAATGTACAATAGGTAAATGCGAGCACAACTTTGAAATATTAAAAGATTATGAAGGTATACAAGTAAAATCAAATTCTGAATTTATGTCATATTTAAAATTCCATGTGGGATTTACAAATCCGTAGAATACACGAATTTAGACTTTTAAAATTCGTCAACCTTATAAATTTGATCCCTAAAAAAAATTACAAACAGACAATAAATTTCCACGAATTTGATCGCTAAAACAAGTACAAGCAAACAATAGATTTCCCGTACCAATCCAATATAGCTATGGATTTCCCTACACTTCCCAGCGCCGCCCATTTATTGGAGGGAGAAAAGAGGGAGAAATCCGAATCTTCCAAGGAATACCAAGCTCCACCTTTATTACTTTCTGGGTTCTCCTTTCCAAAACATATATATACACATTATTACATATATACATGATCACAAACCAAACCAGTCCTTGCTCCACTTGGAATTGGACACCATTATACATCCCTTTATCACATTCTACGCAACAGGAACACAAGTGGAAAGATGCTCTCTAGCTATATAGTATATATTTACACTTTCTTGTTATGAACAAACAAGTGGAAAGATGCTATGCTTCTGCTTTTTGGTACCTTAACCCATTATTTTGTAGCTATATCCAAACATAGTCTTCTACTCCATACACTACAAACAAACTACTTCTACTTCTACTACATTTCCCCTTCCTTTTTCATCTATAATATGCATTCATATATTTTCTTCACAAACTTCATCATCTCCATTCTCCACTTGTGGTTTGCCCTACTGCTTCTGTATACACACATTATGCCCCTTTCCCCACCAAGTTGATGAGAAAGGACTACTATGTTGACACCAAAAAGAAACCAAAGGGAAGCAAATTACAATACACTACTCTCTCTGTGTTTGTTCTGTATAACAAGCACCATCCATTCTTCGGTTTGAGGAAGTTTGTTAATTAAAATCTTTTACCATTTTTTGCTTCAGTACTCTATGATGAGCCCTCCCATGGGGGCTCGGTGAGGTATCCCCTTCCTGCGCTTTGCTGTCCTGAAACTTGTCGAAGTTGGTGGTGGCGTTGATGGAGAAAAGCTCTCGATTCTGTCGATGATATTGCTGTAGTGCCCACCGCCACCATTGTACTTGCTCTTAAAATGCCTCGCTCCATGGCTATGGCTGCTGGTGCTGTTGTAGGAGTCCTCCGAGTCCGATCCCATTGCAGTTAATCGCTGCTGCTTCCTGATCTTCTGGAAGTTCCCTGATGTCCCCACAATCTAGGAACAAACAATACAAACCAACCCCCATTAATTAACCATCATTTGCCCATTCTCAGCTCAAAGTTTTTGCTCAGACGAGAGCAATTGGTTGATAAGTTCTACATACCTTGCATCCGAGCGAGCAGAAGCGGAAAGAGTCGAGTAGGCTGCGCTCACAGACATCACAAGTGTTGGTGACACCTTTGCCTGGCCTTGGCTGAGGCCTTTCGTTCAAGAACACGACTCTAGCACTGTTGATTACATAGGTCTGGACGCCAGTGATGTCCAGTACTTTCTGTATCTCGTTCACCCTGATCACATCATGGTAGGAAGACCTCCTTATCTAGGAAAAAGGCAAAACCAAAATGTCAACAAAGGAACCAAATGAAATCAATCAAAACTACAGAAACACCCATTGAGTTGGCTCTATTAAAGAAGACAACCGTGAATGAGGATTGGGGAAATGACAGAGTTCAAATGGGAATGCTAGGGATTTGGTGTCACCCAAAAGCCAAGTCAATACACTTCAGTAAATAGGAGAAGACCCATTTGAAATCAATCAAAAGTTACACGAACCATGGAGCTGATTGGAGTAAAGAAGACACAATGAATGGAGATTTTCCCTCATTGGTAAAGTCAAAGGAACGGTAGTGTCTGTGTCAGATTGATGAGAGAAACAGGAAACCCCTTTTCATTTTGTAATCAGCTACAAACAAAATCTCAGCGGAGCAAAGGCTGATTGGGGGAATAACCAATCAAATTTGAAAACTCAAATTCAGAAAGTTACAAGCAGCAAAGCAAAATTTCAATGGATGAAACTAGTTTCTATACCTGAATGGCGAGATGGTCTTTATGGTAGGCGAGGCAGAGAGAGCAGAGGGGGCCATTCATACAATCCAAGCAGTACATATTGCACTCGCTCTTGTGGGAATCGGCATGGATTTTGCATTGAACGAAGAACCGCTCTCTCAGCAGCGGCTTCAACCATGGCGGCCACCTACCGCCACCATTCTCTTCTTCTGGACCTCCAGCACCCTGTTCAAACCCCAAAAAGCAGAGTTGGTCAACTCGGTCAAGCTTAGCTCAAATCAACTTTTCGAACCCAGAAACTACAAAAAAACATACTGAAACAGCCATTGTAATTGCTTTTGAAAGAAACCCAGAAACGAAAATCGGAACCAAACAACCACTGCTGCAATCGCCCAGTAAAGAATGACAAGAAAGAAATCAAAAGAGGGAGGAATAAGGGTAGACGAGCTCTGTCTCTTCTCTCCCCCCCCCCCCCCCCCCCCCAAAACTCACCATGATTCTCCTGTTCTTGGGCTTGATAGCTGTGTCCTGACTATCGATCGCCAGCGTGAAACAACGACCCAATGAGCCAATGGCGGAGGAGAAAACAGAGGATTACTGAAGAAACAAAGTGAAGCTGGGAGTAAAGAGAGGGTTGGTTTTGAGAATGGCGAGCAGAGATTTTGGGCAAAGTGAAGGCGGCTGAGAAAATCGGCTAGAGAGAGAGAGAGAGAGGGAAGTGGAGGTGAGTGGAGTCAATGGAAATGAGAAAATTGTTTCGGGGGAAAGAGAGGGAAAGAGGCATTGTTCTTATCCTCACCAAAAAGTCTACAGTAGGGCAAGCGCAAGGAGGAAGTGCGCGTTTCCTTCTTTTTTGGCGCCAACATGCAATTTGGCGCTAAATGTTTATAATTTGGTTTATTCAGTCTCTCAACTTCAAATTCTTACAATCAAATCCGTTGACTTTCTTTTTTGAAAGAAGACTTTCCACTTTGTGGTTCATTCAAATTATAGTTAGCTTCAAAATGGGGGAATGCATGGAATCCTTACCTATATCTTTCTAGGTTACAGGAGACCAAAAAAAAAAAAAATAATAAACGTGATGTTATTTCACAAGATGATCATATGTCTGGTAATAATAAGTTAATAACTAAACCTTTTATTTATCAACCTACATAGATTTAATAACAGAATTTACACAGCGAAGCCAACACCATAAAATGTAGTCAAGTAGTAAGAAATTTGGATCGATTGGCAATGTTGCCATTAGAAACGGGCCAATAGGACCTAAGCAAGATGTCTTGGACGGGTCAACCATTCACATGTGCTTTTCCAAGTATGTTGTATATGGTAGTGATCAAAAGACCGTTTCAATTAAGTTTCGTAACTAAAAGCCTCCACGAGACCTTAAGAGAGAATGTCTTCACTCAAACCACCCGCAGTTGAAGAGATTCTTTTGATTACTCGTACGATGGACAGGCCAAGCCCTCGTCACAATAGAGAATTTCACTTTTGCAAGATGAAGGATTTTTATTGCCCTCTTTTTAAAGTTGGAGGACTTCCAAAGCTGAAAGCATGAAAGTGGATGGACTAAAGATGAACTCTTAACCCTGGTGCGGTTCCGCCGAACCTAAAAATTCCTTGCTCCTGACCTAAAAATCTCATTTTCAGAAAAGCCACGTGGAAAGAGAGGAGATGCGTTGCGAACAAGGAACCACCCTCCTTCTTTCGTTTTGTTTTTTTCTTCCTTCTTTTGTGTGTTTATGGAATTATTACACCATTAATTATTATTTTGTTTTCTTTATTTTCCCTCCTATGATGTATCTACTAAAATTAGGAATAATTACAGTAGGAACCACCAAAATTGTGGCGACTAAACAAATTGGTCACCAAATCTCTATGGTTTGTAGTATCAACTAATTAGACTCAATAAATGCAGTCAAGATCGAGATTTTATGTAAAATCGAAATTTGAGGTAAAATCGGAATTGTAGATTAAAATTTTAAGATTTTAAGGTTCATATTAAAATTGTCACTTACAATATCAGATAATAACAATAATGTATATCCTAAATAACAATCAACCACATATTACTTAATTGATTCTCAAGATAATGCTAAAAACACACACACAAAATCGTAGATTTATTCTTGTAGAAACGATAAACAAAAAAATTAAGCAACCCGAAACCTCATAGTATATCTAAAATCTTCAACATCATCATCATCTTCACTTTTATCCTCATAAAATCATTGTCTATTTACTTGAGCAATGATATCATTATTATTGGGAGATGAACAAAAGCTTGCAAGGGGATGGTGATTGGGCTAATTGCGAGGGTGATGGGTAACAAACAACGAGCTAATTGAGAAGGGGATGTCATGTTCAGTAGTGTTATTCGTGTGTTGGGTTGGGGGAAGTGAACTTGACTCGGTTTGTGGGACAAACCCGACCCGATAGGCTTCATTTTGCTTCAGTTGATGTGAACCTTAAAATCGTACAAATCATAGATTATAAGGATTTTAAAGTTTTAAATCGGGATTTTATGGAATTTTAAGGTTCAAAGATTTAGTAGTAAAATTAGGATCGGATCACATAGGTAAGATCGTAAAATCGTAAAATTTAAAGAGAAAAATCGGGATTTTGACTACATTCACTCAACTATGTTTCTACTATGCTTATTATAGTGTTTTCTTCATGTGCTTTCCTAAAAGAGTTAAATATCGATCTTCTTTTGTTAAATAACTTATAAAAATGCCCGCCACACCCCGTACCCACGCGTGTATTATATGACCTTACCGCGCTTAGTGCGAGGAGGGCATGGGTATTGACATACCCACCCCGCCCCATCACTAAATCCAATTGTAATATAATTAGTCTAGTGAGCACATTGTACCATGTCTAACTAAAGTACACATGAAAAATAAAAACAATGATATCAACACGCAACAACTAAAATCTATGTTGTAACAAAAATATTCACTTCTTCAAGCTCTGGGTGGTGTGAAAGATAGAGAGTGATATAAGATTCATAATTAACATTCTTCTAACAACTTGAGTTATTGAGATCAGTTGGTTTGTGACATGATATCAAAATTAGTTTGGTCAAGTGGTCGTGCATTCAAATCTTCATTACCTCCAACACTAACATTTTATTTAAGTACAATGTATGGTGCGCCTATGCAAATTTTAAGCCAGTAAGTTGGTTTTCGTTTGAGGAGTGTATATTAGAAAATGATATAAACCTTCTCTCACTAACTCGAGTTAATTAGACAAGTTGATTTGTGACGGGTCTACCATTTAAGAGGTTGGCAGCTATATATCATGCATATAAAATCAATAATACAAAGCGTGACGTTTACACTAGTTATGTAAACTAACGCAATCAGAGTAAGATTATCTAAAATCACTCTAGAGTTTATCTCCTTCATAAGTGGTAGCTAATTAGAACCTTGTATGTTATTTTTTTATCATTAGTTTTGAAGAATTAACATACTGTTTTAGATGATTTGGATAAAAATTTCAGCTAAGATGAACAATGAAATTATTATGTTAGTTGTTTGTCAAAATAAAATTCAATGATTATTTCTTGACCCACTACAATTATGGTGGTATTCCTAAATCTGGATTGGAGGATTTTTTGTATAGTTTTCTCATTCTTTATCTATTCATGCGTTTTGATAATTTCTTTCGTTTTCAATGGACGTACGTGGCCAAATTTTGTTTTGGACCTAGCACTCAATCTCACTCGATATCAACTAGAAAGTGTGAGAGTTGTAAAATACTATTTTTTTCCCAATATATAATGTATCCCACGTCATTTTATGTAAGAAATTAAAAAAATTCTTAAAATACCTACATTATTTTATCCATTCACATTGAAAATTTGGAGTTACAAATTTCAAATGTCACTAGTATCGAAACGAATCAACTAGCTAGCTTTCGACTCATTCTTTTAGCAATTCGACTTCAAAAGAAAGAATTAGTTTTCAACTTTGTAACACTATTAGCTATAAGACTAGTTTTCTGATCGATATCAACAACATGAGTTACAGTAAAAATGAAAGTGTTTGACCGAAAACTGTCCAAATTCAAATGCGCTAAAAAATCTAATCTATAAATCATTGATTCAACACTGAAATATAACGAACCTATATAAATTTCAATACGATCCTGAATGGATTTTCATTTAAGAAGAATTATGAGGTATTGGCTCTTGATCAAACTTCTCTTATTAGTAACTAGTTAGATCAACAAGTAATTACCTAACTAGTTAGTTAAGTGGCAAAGGGTGTGGCTCATCCTCATCCAATCTCTTGTCACCTTCTGTGTTGTCTGATGTTTCTCTTATCTTTGGTTGGTCTAATTTAATGATTATAAAAGTGATCCATTATTGGGTGACTGTCTGACTGATAGCTTTTTTATTATTTTTCTATGGATATATTCCATTTCCATATGACACATCTCCTTTTAATTAATCAAAAATAAATTGGATAAATATCCTTCCATGAAACTCATTTCTTTAATGGGTTCCTAGTTGGAAATCCAACAGATCAATGACACTTCCTTACATTTGCCATGGAGCAAGTGGATGGATGGAATGGAAGTCATGGTGAAAACTACTGTTCTATGACATAACATTGAATAATTTAAAAAAGGATAATGGCATTTTTAGTCTCTATTTTTATGTTGTTTTTACAAAACGAATAAATAATTTTACTGTATTACCCGTATAGTCTCGACATTTAAAATATAATTTTATCTGTTACAACTAAGCCAAACAATCGTTGTTAAATTGTTATAAATATAACAGAAGATGTGAGATTCATATTGAATTGAGGGGTGAGAAATTTTCCTTTATCAATGGGCATATGTATAGTGCTTAAGCCTGATTACTCCCAAAGACAGAAAGAGTATAAAAAAAAATAAGATTAAAGAACGAGAGAAAAACCAAATAAATTAAATAATAGTATACGGTTTAGGAGCTGCTCGTCACTCTGCAACTCTGGGTCGTGTGCATAAGCAACTTGCGAAAAATGCTACCTAAAGCTTATAATTTCAATTCATTTACAAATTCCCCCTTAAAAAAAATTCATTTACAATGGTTGGCCTTGAAATTTGGAATTCTCTGTAAGCAAAAGGTCGTGTATAGGATGACAATCAAACCCATGGCCATGGGTATCCGACCGCCCCCGACCCAGTTAATGCGGGGAATCCCCGCTTTGACCGGGTATGGGGCGGGTATGGGTAAAACCCGCAAAAAAGTTTGATGGGTATGGGGCGGGTATGGTTTTAGCCTCCCCCGCCCCATACCCATCCCCATACCTGCCCCACCAAGATAATTTCTTCATATATAAAAAAAATATGTGCATCAAATTATAATCTATCAATGATGATGAAGATAACTTGAGAAAATAAATAGTAGAAATGCAATTGATTGACCACCTTAATCAAAATCTAATTCATTTCTCTCAATTCTCATTTCACTCTTTCACTTTCCCCCTTGTCAACAAGATTATGTTAGTTAATTATTATTTAGTAGATGTATCAGAGTTAGAACATAATAATTTGAAATATATATTATGTATTAATGGATATTTTAGGATCATAATCTTTGAACCATATTAAAAAAATGACCGTGTTTTATTGACTTCATGATATAATATATTCGTTTAGAATTATAATTAGAATTTTTCTTGTAAGTTTTAGGTATAATAATGTTGGATGTACGGGTATGGGTATTACCCATGAGTACCCGAAACCCACGGGTATGGGGATGGGTTTGCAAAACATTCCCCCGCATGGGTATGGGGCGGGTATGGGTTTGGGTATTTGAAGATGGGTATGGGAATGGTTTAAGCAAACCCGCCCCAAACCCACCCCATTGCCATCCCTTAATTTGAGGTTGGATTCTGACGTTTGTAATGGTTAATGGTTGGAGCGTCCCGCTCTATTTTGCACTAAAAATATTCAATAATTTTCAGCAAACCAGTCTACCAAGTCGATGCACAAAAGACGTTAGTGCAAATATATGCAAATCTTCTTTGTCTTGTAAATTTTATCCCAACAGTTCAACGTAGATCACCTTACTTTATATATATTTTTTTTAAACAATTCTCTCTGCGGTTCAATTTTTTTGAGTGAGTAACTTGTCATATTATTTTTATTTGTACCTCTACTCCGCCTTATGTACCACCTTACTCTATGTTTTTTTTAAACAATTCTCTCTTCGATTCAACTTTTTCGAGCGAGTAACTTGTCATATTATTTCTATTTGTACCTCTACTCCGCATTATGTACTCTGATTTCGAAGTTAATCCATTTTTTTATGGACAATCCACTATTGAGATAAATATAAGCATTCACATATTCATAAAAGAAAATTAATGGTCGAATTCAAGGTGTGAAGAGAAGAGTCGATACCTAATGTGCACGCCAACATTTAGGCAAGTACCATGCTTTTATCTTTTCCTCCAAAAGCAAGTACCATGCATACAACATTACAACATACAATTAAATATTAATGGAGGATATGCATAAAAAAATGTGGAGAGAAGGGCCAAACCGTGACACAATATTCTTTTTCTCCTTTGCAGAAGAATTGAAAAGACTTTGTATAAGACACAAGTCAAGTCTACGCTCTTGTATTGGGTTCTCATGAATTGAACTATTGGTCGCCGTGAAATTTACATTGCATTAGGATTTTGTTGACATAATCTCAATCCTTTCCAATGAACTGTTGAGGTCCTATTTCAAAATTGAGATGTGATTCAAGTTTAACCAATAATAAAGTAAGAACTATCATAACAAGCTCTCTAATTTTGGTAATCCGTATGATATATTATTTTACGTCTTTGTCGGAACTAATTCATTAAAGTTATTCCGTCATTGTTTAACACAAATAGAACTTTCGACGCACAAGCAAGACTTTTTCAATAATTGTAGGTGGCTCATATATATGTACATGAGAATATTGACCAGTAATCAATCTATTATTATAACTAATCATATTCATAATCAAATAATTATACACCACAACTATAATACTGAATCGAGTTAACTAACATGCTCAGATTAAAAAAAACCCCTAATATTCAGGGACCCTATATGCCTGAGAATCTCCTAACACACCCTCTTGCCCGCCCCTCCTAACTAGGATTGGTGTTTCCATAGCAATGATTTGTTTTCTTTTACCAGAAAGCATTTTGGTTTTGCCAAAATATTGGCACAAATTGTTCTGCGGCCAATAATGGATGGATTGGGCAAAGAGCTTTCTCTTTTGGCTCCTATCTTTTGTATCATTCCGTGTCATGCTTGCTTAAGCATGTAATGTATATTCAATTTATGAGAGAATTGGAATAACAGGTAAATCTTTCTTCTGTTCTATCTGGTATTTAGACCTTTTCCTTTGTATAATATCTAAAGTAGTTTCATGGTATCTAAGACACTCATGCAATCGTTTAGAATTGAAACTATTTTTTTTTAGTCATATGTATAATTTAAAAGGAAAAAACTAAATTACTGTCACATAAGCATATGGCTAGCTCTCATCCGGGTAGACGAGTTCTAATTCTAAATGGTGTATTTTTTTTTTGCTTATGCATTAAATTGTCATTATTATCAATAACATGTAAGTTAAGTTAATAACAATGAATGCAATATTTGGGTTTGTTTCTATGCATTTTTTTCGTATAGATTATCTCTCTAATGATAAAATCCAGCATAAAAAAAAAAGAAAATAAAGAAATTGGGTCAAATCCTGTAAAAAAGTATCTTCTTATTTGGTAGAAAATTTGAGATCTCTAGCATTTCTCTTATATACTATCCTATGGATTAATGGATAGATACAAAGAAGGGGATGACAAGAGATATGGATTCAGCGGCGGATCCAGGACATAAGAGAGCACTGGGCCGTATTTGAATAAATATTAGATACCATAAACAAAAACATATAATAATATAGTTTTCATTACAACGTTAATTGTACAATAAGGTCTTTTAATTTAGCAAATTCATCAATAATATAATCTCCATCCATACTGATAATATACTATTTTTCAAAGAAAATAGCTAAGTAATCAACGAGAAATCCATCGCTCATTTTGTTGCACAGATCAATGTTCATGCATTGCTGAAAATATTCTCTTCATGGTAGTTGTTGAAACGGCTAGGTCAACACTAGACAAATCAACCGACAAATCAATTTGTATTATGTGTCCATCCCAGTTTCCTCCAGCTTCTCTAATAATTTTGCAAGAGAAGAAACTTCATCTTCCTCATATGAGTAGTGCATTCTCCAAAGAATGCATCTCATAGCCTTCAAAGTCTCGAGGCTAAACTCTTGAGCAAGTTTGTAAATATTTTCTTCATCAAAACACCAGAAAGAACGGTTAGAATCTAGTGACTCACTCAATTGAGGCAATCTAAATGATGACTCAGCAAGTTTGTAAATATTTACTTAATCAAAAGAATGGAAAGAAAACCAGCTCGACGGGCTAGCAGAGAAATCCATTTTGGGTCTGCTCGTCTCCTCGTTTTTGTTTTGTTTTGGGGGGATTGAGAATTTTTTTGAATTTTGCAAGGAAGGGTGTGCTTTAGTTTAGAGTTTTTTTTTTAATTTTAATGAAACTTTACACTTTTAGGTTTTCATGTCATTTTTCAAATAAAATCATTGGGGCTATAGAAAATTTAGTATAAATTTAGAGTAATGGTTTGAATATGTTCATCTGAACCATTTTCCTAGTTACACAAAATCCTATTATCTAATAAAACTAGACAGAATTTTAAATAACATTGGGGCAAATACCTAAATCGAAAAATTTTATAAGCACTAAACTAACTCTGGATCCGGAGGAGGGCTGGGCCGGGGCCTGGGTTGGCCCAGCCCTGGATCCGCCACTGTATGGATTTCATCATTGCGGGAGAATAGGAAACGAGAGTTATAGGATGCAACAATTAGATGAAAAATAATTGAGCAGTTGTATGTTGGAACATAATTTTGCCTTTACTTGCTATGGACACCAAGTAGATAACTGAAGTTGGAGAAATACAAATAGATTCCGAAGAGAATTGAGATAGGATGTATGAAGAATGAAGCATTGTGGGACGAGGCAAGTCGAAAGTAGTAACACTGCCCCTCCCCCATGCTACTGCGAGTTGGATAATACCTATCACAATACATATAATGTTCGATAATATCTGGAGGGACATGTTCAAATTGCTATCGGTAAGTTAAATAAGAAAAAAAAAACAAGCAGACATCAACTTCACTTTGATTCCATCAACAACATTGTAATTGGTGGGTTTATGAGTTGAGTAATTGTTGTTGAGTTTCTTATTCTTGTCTGTGACTTTAATCAAGTTTGACAGTAAAATGATGTTATTGTATACTTGTGTTGGATTGATTTATATATGTTAAATTATTTATTATTCAATAAAATAACTTAAAAAAAGAGCACACACGCATGTAAGAAAAATCTAGCAAAATGCACAATAGAAAAAAGGAGGTCTTATGTTGGTTAGGTTACTGATCGGTTATTGTCTAACCTTGCCGAATCACTTGCTCAACGTTTATCCGGGTAACGGACAATCGTTTACGGTTACTGTTAATCGACTAATATAATCGGTAGATTAATGATAAACACAAATTGCTTAACGGTTAATCGATAACCGACTAAACGAGTTACGGTTATAACCGAACCGACTAACAGTCCTAAGAATAGTGATATAGCTTTGTGGGCTCTTAAAATCCAAGCCCATATCCATTATATGTAGCTGGGCTGATGGGAAGTATAGTTTGAACTACAATAGACATAAAAGACGAGCCCATTTCGAGGTTTACTTG